CTGGTGCCACGCTGGCAGCCGGCCCTTCTGGAAGGTTCTCCGGCCGTTGGCGGTGATGCAGCTGTTAGGAGGTTAGTTACAGGGAGCTGTTGAGGTTGGCTCAAGCTCGCTTGCTTGCTCCACCACCACCTCATACCTGATTGCTACACAAGGTAGTGTATACTAGATCCTGTGGTTCATGTCCACCTGGATATTCGTAGCCTGAAATGAGGGCAGGATGATGTGACTTGATTACTCATCTCCTCTTGGGAACCGAGCTAACGTGTGTTATGTTGTGCTTACCACTGATGGCACACGCCTATGTGGGCAGTGATGAGATTTGCTGAAGTATGGTAGCCTGAGTGTTTCTTTGCTGGCACTGCTATTTTCAGTCTGTGTAGAGCTTAAAAATAGAGGCAGTCATTGCTGCAGCTCACTTTAAAGTGGTACTAGTTAGTGTTTTACTGCTGAATTGTTACAAAATCTGGTTTTGCCATAACTGTGAGATTACTGTTGTTTTTTTTTTCAGGTGATGAAAATTCTGGTTATTCCTTACCCACTTGCAAAAACCTCTGTTGCCTTCTTTATACCTATAGTTATCCACTATCCTACAGTGCACTGAAAATTGGTGTTCCAGTGACAGCATAAAATGTGTGAAGATTAGTATCAAAGTAACAGGGAGACTGCTGTTCTGATAGACTAACTTTGTATTTTAAATTCCCATCTAGTATAGGAGAATGATGCAGTAATTACATTGTATAAATTTCACATTTTATTTATTATATCAGATCCTAGGGTTCCTTTCAAGGCCTCGGTTGACTTGCAAACCAACAGCAGAGAATCAAGAAACCTTGTTATGAAATTTAGGTCCAGCTTTTCATGAAATATAGGAATTTTGATCATTGGACCGGGGAAATGAGTGGTACCACAATAGCCCAGGTTCCTTTTTCAGCCTTGAGGCTCTGCAAGCAATCTTTGCCACATTCACATGGGACAGTTAAAGATGTTGACTGCTTCTTATACCCTTTTACTTGAGGTTATTTCTTCTGGCGTTTAGTTGGTGTTAGCGTGTTCTGAATCTGCAGCAGACAAAATCACCCAACTGTTGCTAAATCTGTTCTCTTAAACTGATTTTTGCCTGAAGTAAGCCTAAGTTATGTCACCAAAACTGCACTGAGAGCAGAAGTGTGGTGATGAACTTCACTGAGCAGTTAAATGTTGAAATACTGTAGCTGATTGCTAGATAATAGGTTTTTGGTTATCATATGCTACTGGAGAACTAGAGCCTTTCAAGGAAGTGAAGTCCTTCAAGAGAGGACTCCTCCTCTGTACCGTACAATGCTTTTTGGATCTCATGTTCCCTCCCCAGACGGAAAGCTGCTGGATGAGAGGAAACGCTGTTTACTTGCTTATATTGCTGGTTGGCCAGCTCAGTAATATATATTTAGCTATAATTCAAAAGAATTCTCTAACTAATGCAATTTTAGCTGTGTTCTCTTTGCAGAAAAAGCACTTAACTTAAAATATCTACAGTGGAAGTCTTGTGAAAGGATCAAGCTTTCTAGCCAGTGGTTTCAAATTGTTTTGAAGAATAGGAAGTCTAGGAAATAGTTGACTCTTTCTAGTAACTGTGAGGAAATTTTGGTGTTGAGATGGACATTTTAGATGTCTGAATGGCTCTGCCTTTGCTCCTGTTGGTCATGAGATGCATATAGTTTGGAAGCTGCATAGCTCATGTTAGCACGTCACTTAAGTCCAAGTAACGTCCTTGGACCTGTCAGTTTGGTGCCGCTTTTCCTTCTGTTTCACTTCTTTGCTATCCCTTGCCTTTTTTACTTTAGTCTTCTGAGATATTTCCCAATGCAATATGTGAAATTATACAGTTACTATGGAATTAATGTGAACGCTGAAGAAAGTATTGGAAGCATTTCTGGGAGACTTCCAAACCTCACTGGAAGCATATCTGTGTTATGCTTACTCAGGCAGGAGACCTAGAAAAGTACTATGTGATCTGTGCATCCAAACAACAATTCTAAAATATCCTGAAAGGGAGATGAATTGCCTGGGAGCAAAATTAGTTCCGAGCAAAATCAATACTCTGAATCGTTTGCTGTAGTTATTCAAAATAAACAGAAAGAAGAGGTTATATAACTGCTTTGCTATGAATTGTTTGCTTCCATTTACAACAGAAGGTGACTGAAGAACTGCGTGCTGCTGACACTGTTAATACAAGAGTTTTGAAGAAGAGGCTAATCACTAGCCATTAACACTTTATTGTTTTGTTCACTACTTTAACAAGCAGATAAAGAGATATAAAACATTGTGAGAATGCGCATTCTGAGTACCTATCAAAAATCCTCAGAGCTATTATTGCTTTACTGTTACTACAGAGTCCTTCCTTGCGGTAATCTATTCCTCCAGTTTGTTGTACCAAAAGGCAATAATATTGTAAAAAAAATCAAAAGGCATTGCAGGACTTACAGGCTCAATAAGTAATTCCATTTCTGTTGGAGGTCATACCGTTTTTACCATACTACACCACATATTTACCAGTTCTGCCTCAGAGTGCAAGCCGTTACTTGATGAATTTTAAAAAATTTGTAATTTAAGTTGTACCAAACTAAAAACCTGGACGCTGGAAGTGTACACACTGTACTCCAGGAGTGAAGTACAAAGCTAACTGCACTTTTAATCCCACCACGATTTTATGTCTTCTCCTTCTGCAGTCTAATTTACTTAATCTTATTTTTCTGTGGGGAAGAAGAGCAATTTTTCAAGGAGTGTTCAAAAAAACCTCAAGCTCCAAATATAGTAAAGTTGGAGAAACATATTGCTTCCGCATAAGATCCTACCTCTCTGAAGGTTGTCTTAGAGCATCCTTGTAAATATGCTCTTTTCTAAGGAACGCTGTTGGGAATGAAACTCAGCAAGACTCTGAGATCAAGCTTCATATTTGTGGAGGTTAGGCTATTGGGGGGAAGTCACAGCTAAGCATAGCATGCTGTTAATCTCCTGTTGGTAGCTTGCAGTTGAAGAATGGAAAGCACTAATGCTGTTTATGCAATGAGTTTGCAAGTTACAAGGGCAACTAAACGGTTTATCAGTATTTACACTGAATGCTCTGTTGCATATCTCTATGTTTAGATACTGAAAAGAGGAGAATAGAAGGGGAGGGGAAAATAAATTCATTCTTGTTCTGGGGAGTTCTGTTCTGTTTTGTTGCCGTGCACTAGTGTAACGTCGTAGTGTTTTAGCCGTAAGTGCTGCAGGAAATTATTCAAACCTAAAGAAAAGCTTGTTAATAATTGCTCAGAAACGTGAAAAAAAACAGTATAAAAACATTCAATGAATTTAACACAAACCTATGCTTTTCATCAACTATCTTAAGTGTGTGCTTAATTCTTCATGTTTGCAATAGACCTTAAGCAATAAAGCTTAAAAGCTGTGCTGAATCGTGGCTTGTTACTTTAATACTATTACTTTATTCAGTATAATTTATTACTAAAATAAATTTACCCTCACCCAAATTTTTATCTATGTAGAAATAAAGTTTCCAAACGATTAAAGATGGGTTCTGAAGTACGGTAGCGGAGACTTTATTCCTTGAGTGTTAGAGCTTGAATAAAACCTGAATGTTTTTCTGTTGAAGGTTTTGCTTGCAGGCTGATACAGTGAGTCCTTTGTGGCAATAATCATTCATTGGATTGTAAAGAGAGATCACTTGTCTCCTTGCACATGTACCCTCTGTTGCTTTAAATGTAATTATGATGCGTTTCTGCATTCCAGAATTTAGGGGAAAAGGAGATGGGGGAGGGAAGTCAAGCCCTTCGGTAGTTATGACCCACTAGAAATGTGGTCACATTCAAAGAGATAGCTGTCTCCATTACTATTCAAGAACCAAACAATAAGCATGCTCAGCAGCACTGGGATGAACTGCAGCCTGGGCCTGGCAAACACAGCACCAAATCTAAACAGAAATTAGCAATTTATGCATAAAACACTAATGTTTGAAACAACTTCTCAGCAGTTGATAAACTGATATGTAACTTCCTGCCTGGATGCTGCTATGGGATACCCAGACCATCTGAAGAGAGAAAGGGGAAGGAATGGCAGAGAGGAATCTGCTTTTTAATCTTGCTTTTGCTAATAAAGGACAAAAAAAATCGTAACTTATTCACAAAGGCTGCAACCTTCTGGGAGTATTACTTCAATTATGCCAGTTATTTCCTAGCAAGGGTATTCAGGGCTGACTTGTGATTTCATAGGCCTCTGCTTGGCAAGATACTGGCATGGAACCCCACTCTTTGGAATGTTAAATATTGCTTTTATTTGAATATACGCTGCAGTTGATGGGCAGGCTTGGAATGGCCATCACTTGGCATATTGTGACCTACGTTCCTTCCAACGATATGGTTATGTCATAGACAACCTATTTGATATTGTAGTAAGCTTCTGGTATATTTGGGCTTGTGGGTTCATGTGTGCCTCAACGGATAGACCATTGTCATTCCTTGGATAAGCTTTTAGATTTGCTCCCTTGCAAGGACAATATATACTTTAACCATGCAAACGTTTGAAAAGTGGATCGTGTCATTGTGATCCCAGTGGACAGAAAGAAGGAAACCCCTGTGCTCTGCAAAGAAACCCAATGGCACTACTCAAAATGTGTTTGTCAGACCGGTGTCAGTTCAGTATTTTACTGAACTAGGCCATTATGACTATTTTTTCAGTTTTGTGGTCGTGGTTAAGTAATGAAAACATATACTGAAATAATTTAATTTAAAGATTTAGCTACCTGGAGAGACTTAGAAATCCTGTTAGTGATTTGCAGAGCATTGCTGATCCTGGACTAAAATTTCATCTTGCTGAGGCTCCTTAACCAGGAAGGATAATCTGATCTGCATTGTTCCAGTTTGATAGTGAGATATTAAAAAAAAAAAACCAAAAAAACAAAAAAACCCAGTTGTTTAAGCTGGTAACTTGATTATGGCAGGGGGAACCATTCATCTGATTCATCTGCCCACCGCTGCTAAAAGTTATTTTAGTACTTATTACTAAATACTACTGGATGTTTGGTAGACCTGTGAATACAGCTGGCATCATCTGTCCACATCAGAATTATGTTTTAACTACACAGTTAAAACCAAGTGTCTCTATCTCTGGCTTCCTTCCT